GTATTACCGCAGTTCAAAATATATGAACTTCATATATTCATTGTATCTGATTTATCATCGCGAGTTTATTACGAATCAACTTAACGGCCTGCTCCCAGTTGGCTTGTTAGCTCAATTGGTAGAGCGCTGCACTAGTATCGCAGAGGTCAGTGGTTCGAATCCCGTACAGGCCTGATATTTTTCAGGTCTGATTTTCACTATTGCATAAATAACGCTCTCTACTGCGAGGATCATGCATCAAACGTACGAATTATAAGGTTCTGTCTGTTGGGAAAGGGTTAAGGTCCCAGAGTAGGCCTCTAATATTTAATGGTCAAGCATTCCATTTCAATCTCGTGCTTTTGCATTACAAAGTTAAGAAAACAGGTGGATGTGCACCTAACACAATTAAACATGACTGAAAAGGCTTTAATTAGTTATTTATTAGCGATTCATACCAAATATTTCTTAGTATATTAGGTACAAATGGGTCGCTTAAGGAGCGATGCACAACTGAATATATGACTACAGTTCCTGCCGGAGTTAGTTCTCCGTCGCTTGACCCAGGGTTTCCTCATGTTTTATATACATATCACCACATGTTTTTTATTCACTTTAATTTACAATGCAGACAATGCTTACAGGCCTTTCAATTACATTTCGTCAACAAAATAATAAGCAAGGGAATTTTAAGAAAAGTTCACAGGTCTGATCTTCATTTGAGTTGTCGCGGGAGCACTATCGTTAGCCTTTAGGTGTAGTTTTTCCCAATGGATCTTGCCCCCTCTACCAAGCTGATAGACAACGATGGGATTTGAGTGCAGAGGTTTTCCACAATACTTACTCTACCACCTACCTCCACCTTTTTTTAGTACACATTCAGGATCGGCGGGATCTCTATCACAAGTTGTAAAGGAGAAGCCATTGTGACCACGGAGACGTTTAACACCACATTTTTCAACATTCGTATCTTATAAAGGACCGGATAGAGATTTTTCGAGAATATTTAACCAAGCAGTTGGTAGACAACATTCTTGTCCCCATTGCCAAAAGACGCGTACTCAGCGTAAACAGCCTTCATATTACTCACTCCTAGATCTACGCGAAGCTTGTTTTCTGTCCTATTCTGCGTCAGGCGGTATATCTTTTCAAGTCCTAACCCGAAACTCACCAATTAGGAAATTACTGAAGTCTTTTGTGTAGTCATCCCAGGCGAGCTTTAAATCAACAGAGCCATTCTTTCTCTTTTGGATGAGTGTCCACCCTCCACTAGTTGTTTTCTGGTCAGGATATACCTCAATGGTACCTTTACCATCAGGGTCGATTGAATAAACACCACTTATGGTTTGACCCCTTGTTTACAGCTCAGCACAGTTCTTAGCTGTTAAGAGATAAATAATGAAATTTTTACAAGTGCCAGGGAAACAGAATATACGAGGAAAAGAAGAATAGAAAATCAAGTAGAGGAAATAATGCAACGAATAAACGATCGATAGAATACATTTTACAGTTCTGAACATGTGGAGAGCGCCACAGTACAAGTAGAATTGTTCTCCGCAAGGATTCGCTGAATTGCAACGCCAACCTAGAAAATCATCCTGCCACTATGTAAACAACCGTCGTATTCAAGGAAATGTAATCCTGAAGAATTTTGTGAAGCAGACATTATACGATGAAATTCGTCTCCCAACCTTAAAGCTGTAGATATCGAAATGTATATGTAACACAGTTGTAGATTGAAGAAATTTCAATTACTCGAACCTGTATTTATACAGCAGTTTTCCACGTTAACGTAGCAGGGCGTAGATAATATAGACGTGATGAGAATGTGCTAAAAGAAAGTTGTGTTTTCCGAGTATTTTCCCCAATACTCATAAGGAAGTGGTTTCCTGCAATAAACTGCATCCGTGGTTCTTTTCTTGTATTAACATAAGAGGTTCACAAAGATTTATGAAATATTTTGGGTCAAAATAAGCGCGAAGCTTGCTCTTCTCGTGTGGAAGATGTCTCCTCCTTTGCTCACACAAGCATCAAAGCTGGCACAATTCTGAGGTGAAGCCTCATTAACCCTTACAAATAAATTAAGTGTTTCATCACTATCAGACTATCATTGTATGAAAGAGATAAGGTCTTACAGAAATTAATTTATACATTGGGCGTGATTCATATGTAAAGAGATAATCAACGTATTCATGAGTCCTATGGGTTGAAATCTTCATAATGTGCTTCGCCATCATCTTCGTGCCGCATTCTTGAGAGTTATCTTCACTGGAACACCCCAATAGCAAAACTTTCTTAATATGATATTGAGATTGGAGTGTTTGGTAAATTTCTTAAGAGCGCGATCGGAATTCAGCGATAATGCAATTAGCGGCAGACTAAACTGTGTTACGCTTGAACACTCCAATTACATAATTAGCGAACCAAAGACTCGACCGTTGACCTTTTAAAGTACTCAAGTATATTTCAAAACAAATATTCTCTAGCAACTCTTTGTTATGGGGGATTATTCAGTTGGAATAACTCACAAGGATGCCCCAAAAAGGTACACTTCGGAGTATCACAATAGAGAGGAAGTTTAAACCATTTACCGTACCAAAGATTATTTTATGATTGAGGTGCGGAACTTTATTCAAGTAACACGTTCCGACATTTACGTGTTCGTCATTTTCACTGACTTAATAAGATTCGAACCGCACAAATGAATTAAATAAATCGATTAATATACAGCAGTCTTGTATAACTTTCTGTTGTTAACTTCGATGAATCATTGCATGAAGGGAATCCCTGTAGAACATCGCATCTTCGGTATTACCCCTGATTTACGTACTCCAATTCGAACGCACGAAATAAATTAAGCTTCCCGATAGTATAAATAGTATTTGCTCAGTAGTCTTTTAAAAATCGTGCTTCCCTGATAAGTATGTATACAAAGTTGAGTAATTGAAAAGTCTTCAGTCTATAACTGCTACAACGCAGGCCATTGTAGATTTCAAGCTATGGAAGTAACTTCCATCCCATCATGCCTGCTTTACAAAATTCTACTTCTCTGCTCAGTATGGCACTTTTGATTACCATTCAAGTTTTATCTTTAACTCGCGCTGTCCCGAGCGACCACAAAAACAGCATCAAAGGTGATAAAGGTATCATTCATCAACGAAACAGAAAAAACAAGACAGGTAAGATTCTGAACTTTCATTTATTCTCGTAACCTTGAAATCCTGATTTAGTTCTTTCTGGAACATAGCCAAAAATTGTGGACGGCAAGCAGCAGTCAACGCGCCCGCAAAAAAACAAAAGAAATCAAAATGGCGGTTAGAGCGAATAAAAGAGTAAGTAAGGGCTATTACAAGGATTTAAGTGATGTGAGCACTGCTGTTGAAGATAAAGTGAAAAGAAACCTCCTCGGGTAAATTGAAATACCAAAAGAAAATATCTCACCTTCACTGTGATCAAACTCTTGAACCTTTTCTTGGCCTCTGACAAGATAGTACCATTCTTTCATGGTGCTATAGGCCAAGGCAATTGTCAAGGCTATTTTTCTTGCTTCTCTGTCTCTTGCATATTGCAGTGAGATGTCCACAACGTTGATTTTCCAAGGTTCAAATTATTTAACTGGCAGATATCAGAAATGGCACATATGAGTATAATTATTATTCCCCA